GACTTCTCACTTCTCACTGCTTCCTTCACACTCCAAACTTCACACTTCACACTTCACACTGCACTCTTCACGCCCTACACTTCACACTGCACTCTTCACACTCCACACTTCATCTCATCTGAGCTCTTCTCACCTTATCCCAGCTCATCTCTTCTCATCTCGTCCCTTCTCATATGTCATCTATTAAGCTTTCATTAATCAATTCCCAGCACTACTACTAATCACTGTCGAACCCTCGATGCACCCACTCCAATACGATTTCCGAGATCCAGCTGCAAAAGACAATAGTATTACGAATGCAGCCGCGGCACCAAGCAACCTTGACGCAGCCATTACAATGCGATCTGCAGAGACTGAGTTGCAAAACAATAGAAATACGCGCAACTGGGTCGGAAATTGCAGCTCCAAAACCGGATCTCGACGCCAAAGCGAAAAAAAAGACGATTTTGAAGCACTTTTTAAAAGATTGTTGTAGAAGGAAAATCACTGCGCCAAATGGAGAAATCGGCTGACAAATCACTGTGGCAGCCTTCATGGCGCACTCCAATACTGATTTACCGAAGTCGAAGCTGCAAAAACTATAGTTGACAAATGCAGCCACGCACGAAGCAAGCACGTGACGCAGCATTACAAATGCATATGCATAGCGCTGGGGTTGCACAACCCAATAGAACTACCGCAAGCGGCGTCGGATGTAGCTTTGCTCCAAACCATCGCGACTCCAAGCGAAAAAAAAGACGCATTTTGAAGCACTTTTTAAAAGGCATTTTTAAATGAAAAAAATACTAGCGCCAAGATGGAGAAAATCTGCTAACAAATCCATGTCGCAGCCTTCATGCAGCCACTCCAATACGATTTACGAGATCGAGCTGCAAAAGACAATAGTATGACAAATGCAGCCACAGCACGAAGCAACCTTGACGCAGCCATTACAATGCGATCTGCAGAGACTGAGTTGCAAAGCACAATAGAACTACGCGCAACGGCGTCAGAAATTGTAGCTCCAAAACCGGATCTCGACGCCAGAGCGAAAAAAAGACGATTTTGAAGCACTTTTTAAAAGGATTTTTAAAGGAAAATCACTAGCGCCAAAATGGAGAAAATCTGCTGACAAATCACTGTGGCAGCCTTCATGCAGCCACTCCAATACGATTTACGAAGTCGAGCGGCAAAAGACAATAGTATGACAAATGCAGCCACAGCACGAAGCAACCTTGACGCAGCCATTACAATGCGATCTGCAGAGACTGAGTTGCAAAACACAATAGAACTCCGCACAACGGCGTCGGAAATTGTAGCTCCAAAACCGGATCTCGACGCCAGAGCGAAAAAAAGACGATTTTGAAGCACTTTTTAAAAGGATTTTTAGAAGGAAAATCATTAGCGCCAAAATGGAGAAAATCTGCTAACAAATCCATGTCGCAGCCTTCATGCAGCCACTCCAATACGATTTACGAGATCGAGCTGCAAAAGACAATAGTATTACGAATGCAGCCACAGCACGAAGCAACCTTGACGCAGCCATTACAATGCGATCTGCAGAGACTGAGTTGCAAAACACAATAGAACTACGCGCAACGGCGTCAGAAATTGTAGCTCCAAAACCGGAGGATCTCGACGCCAGAGCGAAAAAAAGACGATTTTGAAGCACTTTTTAAAAGGATTTTTAGAAGGAAAATCACTAGCGCCAAAATGGAGAAAATCTACTGACAAATCACTGTCGCAGCCTTCATGCAGCCACTCCAATACGATTTACGAAGTCCAGCTGCAGAAGACAATAGTATTACGTATGCAGCCAAAGCAGGAAGCAACCTTGACACAGCCATTTACATTGCGGGAACGATCCTACAGTTGCAAAGCACAATGGAATTCCATTGGCAACTCATCCACCAGCAACACTTGCAATCCCATTTACATTGAGGGAACGATCCTACAGTTGCAAATCACAATGGAATTCCATCTGCAACTCGTCCACCAGCACCACTTGCAACCCCATTTACAATGCGGGAACGATCCTACAGTTGCAAATCACAATGGAATTCTGTCGACCACACATGCACGCAAAACAGTTGAAACCCCATTTACAATGCGGAACCGATCCGACCATGATCCGCCCATGATCCGACCACACACGAGACCGTCTCGCACCCGTCGCACCGCAGAGGTAGATCATCGACGTTCGGGGACGGACTTTGTATGGAAAAACATAGGCTTTCGTGCATCTGCTATCTCTCAAAAACGCATTTCGTGCGAGACTTCCTGCAAAACTCCATCGGCAACTCATCCACCAGCACCACTTGCAATCCCATTTACAGTGAGGGAACGATCCTAGAGTTGCAAATCACAATGGAATTCCATCTGCAACTCATCCACCAGCACCACTTGCAATCCCATTTAAATTGCGGGAACGATCCTACAGTTGCAAATCACAATGGAATTCTGTCGACCACACATGCACGAAAAACAGTTGAAACCCCATTTACAATGCGGAACCGATCCGAGCATGATCCGAGACCGATCCGAACATGATCCGAACATGATCCGACCACACACGAGAACGTCTCGCACCCGTCGCACAGCAGAGGTAGATCATCGAAGTTCGTGGACACACTTTGTATGGAAAAACATAGGGTTTCGTGCATCTGCTATCTCTCAAAAATGCATTTCGTGCGAGACTTCCTTCAAAACTCCATCGGCCACTCCTCCACCAGCACCACTTGCAATCCCATTTACAGTGAGGGAACGATCCTAGAGTTGCAAATCACAATGCAATTCCATCAGCAACTCATCCACCAGCACCACTTGCAACCCCATTTACAATGCGGGAACGATCCTACAGTTGCAAATCACAATGGAATTCTGTCGGCCACACATGCACGAAAAACAGTTGAAACCCCATTTACAATGCGGAACCGATCCGAGACCGATCCGACCATGATCCGAGGATGATCCGACCACACACGAGACCGTCTCGCACCCGTCGCACCGCAGAGGTAGATCATCGAGGTTCGGGGACGGACTTTGTATGGAAAAACATAGGGTTTCGTGCATCTGCTATCTCTCAAAAACGCATTTCGTGCGAGACTTCCTCCAAAACTCCATCGGCAACTCCTCCACCAGCACCACTTGCAATGCCATTTACAGTGAGGGAACGATCCTAGAGTTTTAACTCTTTCTTTGACTAACTCTTTCCCTGACTAACTGTTTCTTTGACTAACTCTTTCCCTGACGAACTCTTTCTTTGCTAACTCTTTCTGTGACTAACTCTTTCCCTCACTAACTCTTTCTTTGACTAACTCTTTCCCTGACTAACTGTTTCTTTGCTAACTCTTTCCCTGACTAACTGTTTCTTTGACTAACTCTTTCTTTGACTAACTCTTCCCCTGACTAACTCTTTCTTTGACTAACTCTTTCCCTGACTAACTGTTTCTTTGACTAACTCTTTCTTTGACTAACTCTTTCCCTGACTAACTCTTTCTTTGACTAACTCTTTCCCTCACTGACTCTTTCTTTCACTAACTCTTTCCCTCACTAACTCTTTCTTTGACTAACTCTTTCCCTGACTCACTGTTTCTTTGACTAACTCTTTCTTTGACTAACTCTTTCTTTAACTAACTCTTTCCCTGACTAACTGTTTCTTTGACTAACTCTTTCTTTGACTAACTGTTTCTTTGCTAACTCTTTCCCTCACTAACTCTTTCTTTGACTAACTCTTTCCCTCACTAACTCTTTCTTTGACTAACTCTTTCCCTGACTAACTGTTTCTTTGACTAACTCTTTCTTTGACTAACTCTTTCTTTGACTAACTCTTTCTTTGACTAACGCTTTCTTTGACTAACTCTTTCCCTGACTAACTGTTTCTTTGACTAACTCTTTCTTTGACTAACTCTTTCTTTGACTAACTCTTTCTTTGACTAACTCTTTCCCTGACTAACTGTTTCTTTGACTAACTCTTTCTTTGACTAACTCTTTCCCTGACATTCTAAAAGTCCGTAACACGGAAGTTTCTCCCCCTAAACTTCCTTTGATAATATACATATACACACTGGTTGGAACATTCGGTTGGGAATGTCATCATCCCAACTGATGAACTCCATCAGTTTTCAGAGGGGTTCAAACCACCAGTAATTTTTCCCATCGTTTTCTGTATGTTTACCAGGGGGTACCCTTGATGCGCATTCAACCGTCGCTGGTTCCGTCCGCTTAGATCAGTGTCCCAACAGGCGCAAGGCGTTCCCCGCTGCGACGTAGAACTCCAGGCGATCGCCTGGAGGAAAGCGGAAAAGGATGGATAGTGGACCCTTAGAAATGGTGATCTACTGTGACTTTAGTGGGGTTTAAGAAGGTTTAATGGTGCTTTAATGGTGATTTAGTGGGGTTTCATGGACTTTAATGGTGATTTCATGGGATTTGATGATGACTTCGTGGGATTTGATGCTGGTGTCATGGGACTTTAATGGTGATTTCATGGGATTTGATGGTGATTTCATGGGATTAATGGTGGTTTCATTGTATTTTAATGATGATTTCATGGGATTTGATAGTGATTTCATGGGATTTGATGGTGATTTCATGGGATTAAATGATGATTTCATGGGATTTGATAGTGATTTCATGGGATTTGATGCTGATGTCATGGGACTTTAATGGTGATTTCATGGACTTTTAATGATGATTTCATGGGATTTTGATTTTAATCATGAATACATGGGATTTGATGGTGGTTTCATGGGATTTGATGGTGATGTCATGGGATTTAATGGTGATTTCATGGGATTTGATGGTGATTTCATGGGATTTGATGGTGATTTCATGGGATTTAATGATGATTTCATTGTATTTTAATGATGATTTCATGGGATTTGATAGTGATTTCATGGGGTTTGATGGTGATTTCATGGGATTTAATGATGATTTCATGGGGTTTGATGGTGATTTCATGGGATTTGATGCTGATGTCATGGGACTTTAATGGTGATTTCATGGGATTTTAATGGTTGGTTTCATGGGATTTGATGATGATTTCATGGGATTTTAATGGTGGTTTCATGGGATTTGATCGTGATTTCATGGGACTTTAATGGTGATTTCATGGAATTTTAATGATGATTTCATGGGATTTGATGGTGGTGTCATTTCATGCGATTTGATGGTGATTTCATGGGATTTGATGGCGATTTCATGGGATTTTAATGATGATTTCATGGGATTTGATGGTGGTTTCATGGGATTTGATGGTGATTTCATGGGATTTCATGATTATTTCATGGGGTTTAATGATGATTTCATGGGATTTCAATGGTGATTTCATGGGATTTGATGGTGGTGTCATGGGATTTGATGGTGATTTCATGGGATTTGATGGTGATTTCATGGGATTTAATGGTGGGATTTAATGGTGATTTCATGGGATTTGATGGTGATTTCATGGGATTTGATGGTGATTTCATGGGATTTTGATGGTGATTTCATGGGATTTGATGGTGATTTCATGGGATTTAATTGTGATTTCATGGGATTTAATTGTGATTTCATGGGATTTTGAGTTTCAAGGACGGACCCTTAGGGCCACAGATCAGCCCAAAATGATCGTTTTCTGGATCATGATCCCTCACACTTTATAATTTTGGGGTGTAGAGGGTGGTATTGGCTATACATCCACATTTCATCATGATCAAACTATGTTCAACCAATGTTAAACCAACTTTTTCATAGCTAAACACCAGGTGTTAATTCTTAAACATCAAAAAATCCATGGTTTTAACCCATGTCTTCCATGGTGAAAACTCGTTTTCTGGGCAGCCTTCAGTAGACATCACTTTTCATCGGTTGTTCATCTTCGGCAGGATCTCCAAATGAGTGAGGTTATCCCATACATGAGTTAGTCTCCTAAGTGGGACTATGCCCTATAATCATCTCTGGTTGGTGGTTTCAGCCCCTCTGAAAAATGATGGAGTTCGTCAGTTGGGATGATGACATTCCCAACTGAATGGAACAAATGTTCCAAACCAGCAATCAGATCTATAATCTATATCATTTGGGTGAACTCACCCCAAATCCAAATCCTTCCTAAAATCACCATCAAAATCCCCAAAAAGTGGCCATATTATGCCACATTCATGGATTTGCTTAACAAACGACCAAAAAATGCCAAAAATCTTCCCTTAATCGATTCCCCAAGTAGTGGATTTCATCATTTTTCATCATTTTTCATCATTTTTCATGGCTCCAGGGATCCCACAGAGATCGTCCACCTCCGCAGTTGGTGGTTCCCACCACATCGAAGAAGTTGGCAAAGATGGTGAAGCGCACGTTGCCGGTGGCTTCCAACATCCAGTCGCAGGTCAGGTCCTCCGGAAGCCATGGGGATTTTTTCCATACGCGCAGGACTTGGCCAGGCCGGAACATGGTGGATTTCGTGGGACTTCGCCACGAAAAATGGTGATTTTTCATGGATTCGAATGGGATTTAACACATCTGGCTGGATGGTTGAAGCCTAACCTCCATGAAGGTTTACCTCAGGGGACCGTTTTTAGAAAATGGGTCCAAGACTTTTTAACTGACAGAGTAACATGAAAATAGAATACCAACCTCAAAATGCTGATATTTAATGGATTCTAACTCAGAAAAATTGTGATTTAATATGGTTTTCTTAATGCTGATGTATGAGGTAACATGAGGTAAAATTGACCAATTTGTTCTGAGTCAGTGGAGTGTCTAGCTCCCTAAAAACTTGAGTGTTGAAAGTTGCAAACTTCATCTGCAGCTTGTTAGGTTCATAATCCCACCATCTGTAGCTAAAAAGATTAGCCGTTTTTCTCAGTGTATGTAAGATTTGAATATAGCAACCCCAAAAAAGATAGAACCGTAATCTACCAGGACGAGAAATCGGTCACGATTTTAGTCGGATGTGACTTTTCTGATTCTACTTTGGAGGTTGCTATGATTGCCCAAGAATTGCCTCAGTTTTCAGAGCTGATCTTAGATGGAAACTAGTCTTCCCACTCCCAGGGTCCAGCTGTTAGCTCGGATGGTAATACGCAACAAAGGCATCTCATGTTTGCACCTTAAAGCTGTCACCCAGTCCTCGTTGTAGTTGTAACCGATGGATCCTGAGTTCACCATCGTTCAATGTAAATGCTGAATGCGGAAGAAATCTTCCCAAGGGCAAAACACAGCTTGAAAAGACTCAATCATATACTGTATGTGTAACAACCCTCTGAAGAGCCTTGGAACCCAACTTCTGGGCGCTTCCAACCATGGTTATACCCATAGAAGCAACCTGGTATCTTACAGACCCTGGGACGACGAGTGGGACATCAATGAAGCCTCCGTACGACAATCCAATGTTCGCCACACAAGTTGCGCATTGACCATCCAGTCCGTGAAGTCCGTGTTGATCTTCAAGAGTGACATGCCAGATGAGTCCAGTGCAACCCTGATGCACGTCGCCAGAATCATTAGTGCTTGTTGTTCCGGAATATTGACATTGATTACTCGCTGAGCAGTTGATGCAGGTGCGGGCGTTGGTCTCATTGACGTACATCTGGTCATGCCCTGCATCGTTTCGGCAGACATCACAGACATCACACCGTGTCTCTGAAGACATCCACCGGGAACACATATTGCTCGTTGTCAGCTCGAGGTTCTAAATCAGCTGGGCCATTTCTAGCTGAAGCTTTAAGTAACAAAAACCAAACAGACTCGCTAGGAATACAGATATCCAAACAAGATCAGCAAAGACGTTGATTTTCAGCTGGTTATCACTTTTATATACCCTTGTCCAATTCACCAAATGGTTTGCATACCTTACCCTCTGGTAAATTAACATAGACCCTGAAAATAACATTCTTTTTGTGGAAACTGATCTTCCAACCCCTATCTGCCAGGGTCCATGTTAATTTACTGCAGGGTATAATTTATAATGCTGGACTTTCCATGCACCCTCTGGTAATTTAACAGTTTGCTATGGAACATGGCCCAGTCGAAATAGTTGATTTATCCATTAAAAACGGTGGTTTTCCATAGTTTTTTGTATGTTTACCAGAGGCTAACAGTGTTTTGCCAACGCACAATTTGCGCCAAAAAGCGACCGAAAACACCAAGGCATACCCAAAAAAAACCTGTGCAGTTGTGCAGTTCATCTGCCTGAAGTTTAATGTTAGTTGTATATACCCCCTGGTTATGTCAAAATAGCTATTGAAAATGGCCATTGAAATAGTGAGTTTTCCCATGAATAGCAGGGTGATTTTCCATAGTTTTTTGTTAACGTTTACCAGAGGGTAGGTAGAAAAGCATCCGGTGTGTTCTTAACAATCCCACTTTAAGTGCCCCCCCGTGGTTTTTTTTGGGTGACAGCTCCATCTAAGTTCCATTAACATAGCCCTTAGTTTGTAATCTGGGTGAAACAACAATGAACCATCCCCCAGTCATCACCATAAATAGGTTGTATGTTTACCATTCCCAGTCATGGGTGGTAAAAGTCACATTGTTTTACACAACTATTTATACTTTTCTATCTCTTTGGTGACTAGTCCGAAAAACATCCCCAGAAACCATCTAGAACTGGGATTTCTCGAAGAAAACCGCGTTAATCGCGGCATGCTTTGCAGCTCAGGCTCCATCGATGATGGTTCCGTTGTCACCCTCCAACAGACCTGGCATCCGAAAAGTTCGCTTCGCGGCCAAGGCGGAGGAGCGGGTCAGGCGCTGTTCAAAATGCCTTCAGAATCCCAGGGGATGATTTATCACATCTCTGGGTAAATTATAACTGGTTGGTGGTTTAAACCATCTTGAAAAATATGAAAGTCAATGGGAAGGATTATCCCTAAATGTTCCAAACCACCACCCAGATCATATTTCACTAACCTGAAACTTGTGGCCATTTTGGGATGATTCCTGTATAAAAACGATGATTTCCAGGCTTCAGGAGAACAGGGTTCGGTCGTGATGAAATTTGCCCGGACATATGACTTGCTGCCAGGGGTGCCAGGGTCGGGTCTTTGTTTCTTTTGGAGATGATTTTTTCACCATGAAACTATGGGATGTTGCGACAAATTTGGGCATCTCACCTTGTCAAGTGTCTAAGTCAAACAAACGCGCGCGAGCATCTTTCATAGCGTTGCACAGGCAGAAAACCAACCCTTGCCCACAAACCCGCAAAACATAATCATCCCAATTCCTAGTCTCCCGACACTCCCAGATTGTCTTACTTTTTGGTGAGCAGGACTCGGTGACTTATCTTGAAGCATCGTCATGATATTCATCGCGCAAGCGCTGGCGTTCCCCTTGATGCCGTCTCATAGCCTGCCGAGCATATTCCAGCATAGCTTCTCTTCGACGGAGACTCTGCTGCTCCAAATGCTCCTGAGCTATCTCTGCAAGCTGCTGAACTGACCCTTCGTCCTCTGCAGTTGTGATGGCAGGGGCAGTAACCTTCTCGTGCATGCCTGGGTATGCCAGTGCCGCAGGCGCCAGAGCCCACTCAATCAATCCGGGGTGCTGCTCTTCAAAAAAATCTTTGAGTCTTCAGAAACTTGGCCCAGGAAAGAATTTGCCGTAAATTTGCTAGTATAACCCCACAACTCACCACCAATCAAGCATCATTTATCCGCCATATCCACTTAAATCCTGAAATGTTGATGGTCAAATTCCAATTTCAACGACGAAGTAATCAGCGACCACCACGAAAACATCGCCGCTGCGGTTTTGGTGTTGTTTCCCTCCCCACAGCCGCGATGGTTCCATTCACCCCGGATTGACCGCCTGTTATGGACACCGTATTCTGAGAATCGCAGGGTGCGGGGTCATTGATGCCACGCAGAGTGATCGGATAGCCGTAGACTTCATCGAAGCTATGATACCTGAGACCCGTCCCGCTGGCCTGGACGACTGTTTGTGGGGGAAAAAACACGCAAAGTCTACATATCAACACCAGCCTTTTTAGTGGTGGCATGAACTAATCTACAAACTATTCATAAACATGTCATTAAACAAGCATAGAGAACAACAATAATGATTATTTATATCTATATATATATATACGTAGTCATAGAATGCCGTGCCTGAAATATACATACATACATTTTCATTACTTTACTTTACTTTACTTTACTTTACATGCAGACAAACAGACAAACAGACACATATAAATGTAGATAATACGTATCACTATCGGTATTAATCATATGACTAATGCCACTCATGCATATACATAAAATCATTAAATCCATTTCCATTTGACTCTTGTGAAATATTGTGAAACGACTAGTACATATACAGGTTGGTGGTTTCAACCCCTCTGACAAATATGAAAGTCAAATGGGAGTATTATTCCCAACATGATGGGAAAAATAATCCAAATGTTCCAAACCACCAATCAGTATAATATAATTGTGATGTGATTATATGTGATAATAGGATAATCCTTCCCATTGACTGATATTTTTCAAGATGGTTAAAACCACCAATCAGCAATGTTTTTGCTCAAATATTTTGCACCACTCCTCACCACATATCTTCTTAGAACAAATGATTCACTGAGGCATTTCCTGCAAGCTGGTGACCCCGGTAAACGGAATGGCAAAGTTAGTTTACAACAGAAATTTCACTATGGTTTATGGTAGATATATCTATAGATAATAGGGTTATAACATGTTATAAACCAACAACACACGAATGATCATATATATATATATAATAATATGTATATAACACATATCACTGATTTTCCAACAAATCAATAGATATCCAACAAATCAATAGATATCAATAGATTTCATATCACTGTGCTCTATTTGTTATGTAGGACAGATTTCATAATATCCTCAGTGATAAATCACATTTCACCAGTGATAATCACTGTAGTGCCTAGATCACATAGAATCACATCTCATATATGGAGGCTTCCTGAATTAGGGGCACCCCAAAATCATCCATTTTAGTGGGCTTTTCCTTTATAAACCATCCATTTGGGGGTACCCCCATTTATGGAACCCCCCTTAGATTATAGCTGGTTGGTGGTTTGAACCCCTCTGAAAAATATGAAAGTCATTTGGGGTTGTTATTCCGGATATATTAGGAAAAATAATAAATGTTCCAAAGCACCAACCAGTACCCATGGCATCCATGTATGCTATATATGGTAACATGTACCATCAATATACCCCAAATGTTAGCATGTATACCATACATGGATCCTATGGGGTATAGTATCTAAGTCACAATTTAATCATTGGCTGGTGCGAGGAAACATCGATCCAGAGCACTGAGGACTTTCCTACAATGTGGGGCCCCCGTTCGATAGCTAAGTTGGTGAACATAACTCCAATAACTCTGGTTTATGGCACTTATAACTATAGTTAATGGGGTTTATAAACCCACAAACATCACGTTTGGGGGCCCCACATTGTACAGCTGATTTCTTCCATTCGTTCCCAGTTACAGCTCGGTATATGGCACTGGTTGCATCTCCCCTGCTGGACCGCTCCAGAGAAAGCGAATCCTGCAAATTTGGGTCGCCCAGGTGAGGTTCATGGTGACTGATGAGGATTTCTAGGGTGATTTACAATGAATTCATGGGTTATATCTTGTTTAAATGCTGATTTCCAGTGATTTTCAGGGTGATGTATGGTGAATTTCTGATGTTTTTGTTGATTTATGATGATTTATAGTAAAATCATGTAAAATCTGTTGCAGCAACTATCGTGTTTTTGTGGTGATTCATGGTACTTTAAGATCATTTTTTCTCCATGAGGGGTCAAGGATGACGCATGAGGCAATGCTAACGGAAAGCCAAGGTTTTTCTGCAGCTGACAATGATACAACCTACGAGTGACTCCACTTACCATTTTTTTTATCTACCTAAAAAAGGTCAGATTCCTTATAATCCATTTACTAGCACCGTACTTAAGTCACATCAGGCGGGAAAAGTCACATCATCCCCATGGCACGGCGGCGATACGGAGAAGTCACATCAGGTAGTGGAAAGTCACATCAGGGAAGAAGAATCACCATGGCACAGCCTGTTTCATCCATACTTGGAGATGTAGTTAAAAGTAGCCGAAGCATTGCGCACAGCGATGATTTTGAAGGGCACAAGTTAATACAAACAAATTCTCGGCAGCTAATCCTATTGGATTTGAATATATTATATTGATGTCCTGCGTCGCGTGACCAAATCAAACCCCTATTAGTACAGCCTCAATTTTCTTGCAATGCAAGTGGGTTAGCTGTAGCAAATCCTATTGGCAGGGCTATGATCTAGGATGATATAAGGATATGGGGGCCCCTTGTTTTCCGCAACCAAATCTATGGCTGGCGCGATGTGCATCAATGTCGTGGACAGCTCTCAAGAAGTTTGTTGTCCTATCCACCCACGAATTACTAACTGGAAAAAAACATTCATTCCATTGCGGGCGGAAAGCGTGGCAGGTTTTGTCAGTGCTCCGTCTGCGCCGTCTGTTGTGTCTGTTCCGTCTTGCGCCGTCTTGCCGTCTGCGCCGTCTTGCGAGATGGTGATGGCGGAGATGGTGAGCACAGCGACACAACCGCGCTATGCGACCGCAATGTTTCATTCCAACCAGCCAGAAACATTCCCTCTCTCTGCTGGGGTCTCCCGCCCGTACCTCATGTCAGCGCCAAACAAGGCGACCGAGACTGTTATTTTTTTTTTCCGGAAAAATGTTTGCACGAGCGGCAGCAGCAGCAGGAGGAAGCAGCAGCAGCAGGAGGAAGCAACAGCAGCAGGAGGCAGCAGCAGCAGCAGAGCAGCAGCAGCAGGAAGCAGGAGGAAAGCAGCAGCAGCAGCAGGCGGAAGCAGCAGGCGGAAGCAGCAGCAGGAGGAGGCAGCAGCAGCAGCAGCAGGAGGAAGCAGTAGCAGGAGGCAGCAGCAGCAGCAGCAGGAAGCAGCAGC